GGGGGGGGGGGGGGGGGGTGGTTAATGGACAGCATTTTGTCTGAATAAGACAAAATACTATCTGATTCAGACAAAATGCTATTCATTAAATCCATATTTTTAAATGTAATTTTGCAATTTCGAAATGAAATTTGTCAAATGCCCAATTTTCAGCTGCGCGCGCTACTTCATGTTCTTCGTCCAAAAGAGGTGACAAATTTAATGACGTAACCTGAAGCATGCAATGAGCAAACAGAGCACATGCATCAGGATTAAGGCAATTGTACTTTGCACTTTGTAGGTCATCATCAAACGTTTTAATAGAATTTTACCAAAAAAGTTACCAAATTCTTGAATTATAAGAAATTTTACCAAAATTTTACTAAAAAATCTTTTTTACCAAATTTCTATCAAAATTGTCGAAATTTTACCAAAAGTAAAAAATATACTGAATATGGTCACACTGTTTACCTGTAGGCGGAAACGCCGGAAGTTTTATTTGTCCCTAGGGCACCGCATTTTAGTACTGTGTTTAGCCATAGTATGGTAAGACTTTCGCGCTGGTTAGGTGGAAAACGCGGACATGCGGACACGCGGACATGCGGACACGCGGACATGCGGACACGCAGGTCAAGTGGAAAACGCGGACATGCGGACACGCATGTTAAGTGGAAAACTCGGACATGCGGACACGCGTACATGCGGACACGCAGGTCAAGTGGAAAACGCGGATATGCGGACACGCAATTTACTATACTTCAAAAAATCTATTACGACAATAATTAATAATTTTTCGCGTGATATTGAAAGTTATCAAGGCCGAGGTTGTTTTATAACACTTACTTATTATTTTCTCTGTTTTCTCTGTCTTGGTTTGTAAGCTCGTTTAGTGTATTTCGCTTCTTTTTTTAGTTACTTAGACAAATCTTGTCTTGGACCATGGCTTTATATGTTCTGCATGTAAAGAAGCTCGTTTTGCTGGCAATTATTCTCTGCAGAATTGATGACATATTTACATTCAGAAAGCTATATCTGCATGTGTGATGTCATAATTACACAATCAAAACCGAGATTGTATAGGAAATAATGACTGAAGATTGATAATGGATTGCTGCGCGAACTTAATACTGTTTTTATGTATTTTACTTACAGTATATTGAATCCACTCAGAATCTATACAAAATACAAAACAACGGCAATACAGAAAAGAAACGTTTTCATATATTCAAGTTTCAACTACATATGTTTTAATCGTCACCGCAAATAATACTAGGTTATATTTTATAATACTCGGTTATATTTTATAAGTGAAGAGTCACAGAGTAGTTTGATATACATACACATATTGTATTTACGGATGTCAAATGTATTACAAAACAACAGTATTCTAGCGATTTATGGCCTTTGAAAATCAAGCGAAATTGTTGTTGACAAATCGCTCGCCGTACAATTATAGCATGCTCCCAGACAAATCACTCGCAGCATGTTTTAATATTAAATATCCAAACAATATAGTTTACTTATTGTTTAATGATTTGTAATGCCTAATGAATTGCGAAATAAGGTTAAATTTACCAACGTTCGATTTAGCGTAAAAAATTGTACTTACGGATGTCAAATGTATTACAAAACAACAGTATTCTAGCAATTTATGGCATTTGTCTTTGAAAGCCAAGCGAAATTGTATAATTTGTTGACAAATCGCTTAAAATTATTAAACTATAAATTATAAAAAATGCAGTAAGTTTGATCCCTTAATAACTTTGGTACATCGTTGGTTTTCTCTTTTTCGGCCGTATACCAGTGGATTCGTCTCATTTCTCTCTTCATTTTAATGGTATTGCAAAAGCCCCAAAATATTTTATTTTGAACGTTTTTAACGGCAGTTTAATCCTAGACTTGCTCCAAGTCTCTCTTTCATTGTCATATAGTATCGATCCACTATAGTGTACATTACATGACGTAGTACGGAGAGGCGGAGCGAGAAAGAGAGCTAGAATTGTCAACTTCGGAAATTCTCGGTTCATTCTCTTTTTCGCTCCACCTCTTGGTGCTACGTCATGTAATATACACTATAGTGGATCGATATGACAATGAAAGAGAGACTTGGAGCAAATGTAGTTTAATCCTGGCGTACGGACCAACTGGCGGCCGACAGAAGCATACTATTAAAATACCTTTACTTGCAGTGTGACCAGATGTGTGTCAGCAGATTTTACTAAACCTTTGCAAAAATTTTACTAAATAGGCAAAA